AGAGTTGTAATTTTGGTGACATTGAGGGGTAGAGAAGTCAAGTTAAGCCCACTTTTGGGGACAAAATCGGAACAAAAAACGCGGATAAAAATATCCGCCCGAATTGGCCGGACAAAACTATCAAAACACGTCAGTTTAATGAATCCGGACCCACCTGCCACACATTTCACACATCAGCTATATCCTTTTCCCTAACAGACCTAGTAAATGAATGATAAGGTTGGTTAACCAACCTTATCCAATCCTGTCAACCCTAGTAAACGAGCCCTTAGGATATTTTACACATTGACTTTTTTAAAATTCAAATAATTGTCTAAGGTGGGACAATCCAAAAAAATTCAAAAAACCATTTCATTAATGGTGAAAAATGAAAAAATGCGCGGGAAAATGACATTAAAAAAGCGAGAAACTGAATTATTTTTTTTTGAAGTTTTTCAAATCTTTTTTCTTAACTGTATTATATAGTAATAGATTGCATTATATTCATTTCAAAGTGTCATTTTAAAAATTTTATTCAGAAATTCGATTCTACTACAATGTGATTCCATAATATAAATATTTTGACAAAATTTTATTAAATATTTAAAAATTTATGTGAATAATAAGTATAATTATAAATTTTATATTGTTTTATTAATTAAAATGAATTTATTTTTGCATAAACTATCAAATAAAAAAATTTAAGTAGTTGAATAATTGATTAAACTATAAATAATTAACTATTCCTTTTACGTCCAAGTTATAATTGTCAATATATTATATACCGAATTTAAATCATGCAACTAATAAAGGTAATAGCCGCAATATTTGACCAAATGAATTCTGTACAAATATTAAAATGAATTTGATTTTTTTTTTTAAAAAAAATGACCGCCACTTTTCAATTTTTTTTTTTTTAAAATTACTAATAAAGGTAAAATAAATTTTTAGGCGGGAATTAAGTTACTATTTTAGATAAATACAAACTTTTTTCTATATATATATAGTATATAACCCGTGCGATGCACGGGAATACAATATAGAGTGTGGCATTGTGTAATTAAATTTTGCATTTTAACAAAATAATTGGAGTTTCCATCATCAAATGCAACTCATCGTTTGACCCTCCTGAACATTTGATAGCATTTAAGAACTTGGATGTATGGAAATTTCACAAAATTTCGTTATTGGAATCCGATTTGAATGTACTGTTAAAGCTCATATTCGTACACCATGATGCAATATATGACAAAGAAAAAAAAACCCATTAATGGTGACTAAAATATGGAAACGGGTAATGAGATATCAACCCAATTTTATTAGATTATGATCGAATGATCATAATTTTGTCAAGGTATCGCCATACTAAATTCTATACGTGCACATATAAAAGAATTTAGCCTCACAAATCTAGGGTTTGTGTATTGCATCCCGTTCTTTCACCGTCATTCTTCTTACCTCTCGAAAATGCGAAACTTTATTTTTCATCATTTTTCTCTCAAAAATTAAATCCAAATAATCGTATATACATATTTTCTTCGACAACCTCCATTTTTCATAATCTCATTTTTATCGACTCATTCCCGAAGAAAAAATTTGGTTTAATTGAAGATTCATAGATGGAAGTGCACGGTTTTAGGCCTTAAATCCGAGAGATCTTGCAGAAATTCTACCAACATATGTGGTTCTTGTGTTATTGCATTCAAAATTATAATTTTTGTACCGTTGCCGATGAAAATTAGATTTTCTTCATTTTTTGCTAACACATCCGTTTCTCAATAGATCTAAGAAAAAATATAAATTTTACAATAACCCTCTATTTTTTTCATTGATTTGTAAATTTTTATAGACTTCTTTAAGGTATA